TTACAACTAGAAATATTCTGAAGGTCCACATGAGAACGCACACAGGTGAGAGACCTTTTTCTTGCAAAACTTGTGGGAAGAGTTTTACAACTAGAAATATCCTGAATGTCCACAAGAGAACACACACAGGCGAAGGACTTTATTCTTGCAAAACTTGTGAGAAAAGCTTTGTTACTAAAAAAAACCTGCAGATCCACGAAAGAACACACACGGGCGAGAGACCTTTTTCTTGCAAAACTTGTGGGAAATGTTTTGGTACCAGATATACCTTTCAGGTCCATGAGAAAACGCACACAGGCTAGAGACCTTTTTCTTGCAAAACTTGTGGAAATAGGTTTATATGTGGAAGTAGCTTGAAATTCCACATGAGAAGCCATAAAGATGAGGGCCAGTATCACTGTACAAAATTCTGGGGAAAGATTTGTTATCAAATCACTTCTAACAAAACATCTGAGTACCCACACATGACAAAACAATATATTTGTAAAATGCTGATCTTTGACTTGCCAGTTTATACAAAGTCCACAGGAGAACACATCCAGTTGAGAAGCCAAACCATGGCAACATGAGAGGGATACGATTTGGTCACACGTCAAAGAATTTGTCACTTAGTTATTGATTCATTAATTAGTGATGCAGCTGTTAGCGAAAACAACACTGGAAATGTTTCCAGGTGACCCAAAGAAGTGATGAACCTGGGTGCAGTTCAATGCTTTATGAAGTTCCATCACCACTGATGAGTAGCAGACTTTAATAACTTCACAAAGCACTGAACTACAGCCAGGTTCATCACTTACATCTACACAAGAGAGATTGTCAACATTTGCTGCATCTCTGTAACTGATGTGGAAAATATCCCATTGAGGAGACATCACAATATCTTTGATGCAGTACATGGTCAACATTTTTGTTCTTGATGTGACTCTGTCATTGATATTTACATATGCAAATGAGGCTATGTTTTCACCCATGTCTCTTTGTGTATTCATTGATCAGCAATTTAAACCGAATGGTGCAGGGACGGGGATCAGAGAAAAATATATTGAATCTTGGCGTTGATTTGGTTAAAGTAGCAGATCCAGGATTTTTTTTTATGAATGTTGCCAGATTGTTGTCAATGTGTCAGGAAAGACTGTTGATGATCATGTAAAAATCTGACATATTTGTTGTACTGAGATTCATGAGACATAGTATGTGGTGCAGATTATGAGATGACTTCCCTTTTTCTTTTCTCTTTCTATAACAAAAGAAGAAAATCTATTGTTAATGAGTAGACAGTCCTAAATGACTGTCACTGTAAATATTCATTCTTTTGTACTACGTGCATTCAATACTTCAGTGCATTTGCAATTTATTAAAGTTTCTTGATTTATGATGATTGTTTTTTTATGTTTCACACATTTTATCTGTGTTTATCAGTTAGATAGCTAAAAAAACTGGACATCACCATGAAACTGCGTGAAAAGATGTGGTCAGGAGATCTTGATAAAAACATCTGACACATTTAGAGGACTAGTGTTTATACGTGTGTGTAACTTGGTGCTGCTGGATTGAATGGAAACAAGTACGATACATGGAAACACTGAAGAACACTTTGAATTAGAACATCAACAATGGAGACAGGATGTTAAATATCCACTTCAAATGACTCAGACAGAGCTGAATATTAGAGAAACGCTGCAGAAGAGTTCAGTAGAGTACATGACTGTTTTTATATTTCTAATAGATGCCGCAGATACAAGGAGAATTGAATGATTTAGTCCTGAATCTGTTTTGAGACTCACTCCAATCCAGGAGGTGGCGGTAATGCACCCAGAAGCTGTTTGCCAACCTTCATAATTGGAAGTAGAACTATTGTCAGCCTGCCATGCTAACATCTAACATAT